CCAATATCTCAGGGGCTGCCCCAAAGAAGAGGGAGTCAAGCTATTTTCCAAAGCGCCTGAAGGCAGGACAAGAAGCAACGGGTGGAAACTAACCAAAGAGAGAAGCAACCTAGAACTAAGGAGAAACTTCCTGACAGTTAGAACAATTAACCAGTGGAACAACCTGCCTCCAGAAGCGGTGAATGCTCCAACACTGGAAATTTTTAAGAAGAGACTGGACAGCCATTTGTCCAAAATGGTGTAGGGTTTCCTGCCTGAGCAAGGGGTTGGACTCGATGACCTCCAAGGTCCCTTCCAACTTTATTATTATTATTATTATTATTTATTTATTTCTTCTTCTTCTTCTTCTTCTTCTTCTTCTTCTTCTTCTTCTTCTTCTTCTTCTTCTTCTTCTTCTTCTTCTTCTTCTTCTTCTTCTTCTTCTTCTTCTTCTTCTTCATCATCATCATCATCATCATCATCATCATCATCATCATCATCATCACTCCTGCTCCTTCTGGCTTTGTTAACTGAATGAAGTAAAGCGACCAAGCTAATATTTCCTTTACAAGACTTCAAGAATACAGTGTCCAGGAAGAAGGCCAAAGGAAGAACTCTAAACCACAAAAGTCCTCCCAATTTAGTGGTTTTGCAGTCAGAAGCTAAGACAGAAATTATTCAGCTTGACTCTAATGCACGTACACCACCTCTGCGGTGACACAGAGGAGAAAAGGTGCTTTTCAGATTGGTCTGGATTGTGGAAGCACACAAAGTTGTGACCGCCCTTTCTAGCAGTAGCAATAGATGGTGCACTTAGGGAACAAGAATCCTCTGGCAGAGTATGGCATTAGAGATACAGTGTTAGAACAGAACAACAGAAGGAAAGGATTTAGGTGTGCAGGTGACTGCAAAATGAGTAAACAGTGTGGCCAGGCAGCTGTGAAGGAAAACAAAATTATGAGATGCACCACTAGAGGGATCACCAGGAGGATAAAGGCAGTCCTAATCCCACTATCCATATACTGTATAGCAAGGGTCTTCAAACTTCCTTTTATGATTTGTGGACTTCAACTCCCAGAATTCCTCAGCCAGGCACGCGTGCCTGGCTGAGGAATTCTGGGAGTTGAAGTCCACAAGTCATAAAAGGGCCACCCAGAGTGCCTGGCTGAGGAATTCTGGGAGTTGAGGTCCACAAGTCATAAAAGGGCCAAGTTTGAAGACCTCTGCTGTATAGGGCTTTGGGCAGACCCCATTTATGTCCAGTTCTGGAGACCTACTTAAAAAAAGATAATAAGATTGAGGGAGTCCAGAGATGGGCAACAAAAATAATGCACGGTCTGAGGGACAAAAACATGTCAGGAGAGATTGGAGGAACTGAGTATGTACAACTTGGAGGACAGAAGAGAAATGGAGGGACACGACTGAAACCTTTAAATAAATCGAGGGGGTGTGAGTGAGGTTCTGTAAGGCAGTATTTTCAATATTAAGCAAAAATCAGGAACCCCAGAGTATAGCCTCACACTGACAAGGGGGGGGGGGGGGACTTCAAAAGTCATGTGAGAAAATGTTAGTTCACAGAAAGAGCAAGAGAAGCTTGGAACCAGCGGAGATAGGTCAGTCATCAGTTACTGAGTTTAAACGTGCTTGGGATAAACACATGTCCATCATCGGATGAAAATAAAATAAAAAAAATAAAAGATAATTTTAAAAACTCAAAGGACAGACTCGATGGACCGCTAGGTCATTTTTTTTTGCCATCGGTTTTCTATGTTTCCAATCAATACGAGTAGCAAATAATAGCTAACCCACACAGTTTGTTATTTTTTATTTGCAATTGCTCTCCACTTGCCTGAATCTTTACCTGGTTCATGGGGGCGTTCTCCTTGTGTCTCTCTTCTCACTCTCCAAGGATCTGGTTCTCTTTCCAGAGACTCTGTATGAATATGTGGGCAACAAGAGAGTGCATTAAAAGACAAGGCTTAGAAGGATATAATATATAAGTATATAATATATAATATAATAAAGTTGGAAGGGACCTTGGAGGTCATCCAGTCCAACCCCCTGCTCAGGCAGGAAACCCTATACCATTTCGGACAAACGGCTGTCCAGTCTCTTCTTAAAAACTTAATAATAATAATAATAATAATAATAATAATAATAATAATAATAATAATAATAATAATAAAAAATAAAGTTGGAAGGGACCTTGGAGGTCATCTAGTCCAAGCCCCTGCTCAGGCAGGAAACCCTATACCATTTCGGACAAATGCCTGTCCGTTCTCTTCTTAAAAACTTCCAGTGTTGGAGCATTCACAGCTTCTGGAGGCAGGTTGTTCCACTGGTGAATTGTTCTAACTGTCAGGAAGTTTCTCCTTAGTTCTAGGTTGCTTCTCTCCTTGGTTAGTTTCCATCCATTGCTTCTTGTCCTGCCTTCAGGCGCTTTGGAGAATAGCTTGACTCCCTCTTCTTTGGGGCAGCCCCTGGGATATTGGAAGAGTGCTATCATGACCCCCTTGTCCTTCTCTTCATTAAACTAGACATACCCAATTCCAGCAACCGTTCCTTATATGTTTTAGCCTCCAGTCCCCTAATCATCTTTGTTGCTCTTCTCTGCACTCTAATTTAGAAGGCAAGATGGGCAGCTTATAAATTTAATTAAAAAATAATCTGTGAACTGCGGGGGGAGATTTACCTACACTTTTGTCTATGGAGATTGTCAGTCATTCAAGGTCATAGTTATCTCAAAGGTGTTTTTTTTAAAAAGGCAATTGGACTGTTTTTTGAGGAAAGAAGATATTTTGCGTCTCATCTGCTTCTCAAATGTCTTCTTCCTCAAACAATCCAGTTGCCTTTTTTTTTTAAAAAAAAAAAAGGCAAATGGATTGTTTGAGGAAGAAGACCTACACTTTTATTCAGCGTCAAACAAAAATGGGAAGCTTCGTTTTGTCTCACCAGTAGAGAGAGAGAATTTTCCAGATTTTGCTCACAGATAAGCCAAAGGACATAATACAGAGGGAAAGAATGGAGTTCAGTAGTGGCCATGGTGAAAATGTTTTTAACCTGCAGAGAATACTGACTTATTAAGAGAAGAATTACACCTCTTTGTCTGTGCAAGTTTTTTTTTTTTTTGAACAGGTCTGATTGATCAGGAAAGCATCAACTCTTGTTAGAAGGACTCCAGGCTGGCATTCTACTTACACCTTTGACGTAACAAACATGCTCTGGAAATCACTAGTTACTCATCTTTAGGGAGGCCTTAGTTTGCACGAGGCTTTTAGCAGCATGTCAATCACCCCACATGATTGAAGCCAGGATAAAAAAAAGGACAAGGGGGGGGGGGTCAGGTCAACAGCTGCATTTAAATCAGAGGCGATTTCATGTTCAAAAATTGTGGGTCGCTGATCTCTAGGGAAGTCACAGAAAACACAAACACACTGTAGTGTGCTTAATGCCACCCTCGGGAGCAAGATTTTTCAAGCCTATATGCTACTGTGGCTTACCAAAAAGAAAAAGGATGGTGCTCCATTGATGGCCTTAAAGCTTATTTCTCCACGTTTCAGCATCCCGTTATACTAAGCTGTCCCACAGTGACTTGATCTTCACCTCAATAAGCATTCTTTTTTTTTTTTTAGTATTTAAATTCTTATTAGTTCATCAAAATATAAAATACAAAGAAAAATGAAAGTATATAAGGAACTGCTGCTGGAATTGGGTGTGTCTAGTTTAATGAAGGGAAGGTCGAGGGGGGACATGATAGCAGTCTTCCAATATCTCAGGGGCTGCCCCAAAGAAGAGGGAGTCAAGCTATTCTCCAAGGTGCCTGAAGGCAGGACAAGAAGCAACGGATGGAAACTCATCAAGGAGAGAAGCAACCTAGAACTAAGGAGAAACTTCCTGACAGTTAGAACAATTAACCAGTGGAACAACCTGCCTCCAGAAGCGGTGAATGCTCCAACACTCGAAGTTTTTAAGAAGAGACTGGACACCCATTTGTCCGAAATGGTGTAGGGTTTCCTGCCTGAGCAGGGGGTTGGACTAGATAACCTCCAAGGTCCCTTCCAACTTTATTATTATTATTATAGTAAGGGGAGAGTAAGGGAGAAAAAAAGGAGAAGAGAAAAAAGTGTAGAATAAAAGGGGAAAAAGAAAGAAAAGCATTGACTTGCCACTCTTTTTAACACAGTAGAATAAGGTAGTAACATACAGCCTCGACGTTTTGCTTTTACATAATAATATATGCTAGTCATTTCTATCACAATGCAGCCCAAGTTTCATTTTTTTTCCCCACCTCAGGCACAAAGTCCAGAAGTGGTTTCCAAGGAGAAACAACTCAATAAACAATCTGACCATTACAAATATTATCGTAAGATCAGAGCAGATGGGGGTCAGCCACATGTCTTGTGTCTTCTATAATAATAATAATAAAGTTGGAAGGGACCTTGGAGGTCATCTAGTCCAACCCCCTGCTCAGGCAGGAAACCCTATACCATTTCAGACAAATGGCTGTCCAGTTTCTTCTTAAAAACTTCCAGTGTTGGAGCATTCACCACTTCTGGAGGCAGGTTGTTCCACTGATTAATTGTTCTAACAGTCAGGAAGTTTCTCCTTAGTTCTAGGTTGCTTCTCTCTTTGGTTAGTTTCCATCTGTTGCTTCTTGTCCTTCCCTCAGGCGCTTTGGAGAATAGCTTGACTCCCTCTTCTTTGGGGCAGCCCCTGAGATATTGGAACACTGCTATCGTGTCCCTCCTCGTCCTTCTCTTCGTTAAACTGGACATACCCAATTCCAGCAACCGTTCCTTATATGTTTTAGCCTCCAGTCCCCTAATCATCTTTGTTGCTCTTCTCTGTACTCTTTCTAGAGTCTCAACATCTTTTTTACATCGTGGTGACCAAAACTGGATGCAGTATTCCAAGTGTGGCTTTACCAAGGCATTGTAAAGTGGTATTAACACTTCACGTGATCTTGATTCTATCCCTCTGTTAATGCAGCCCAGCACTGCGTTGGCTTTTTTGGCAGCTTGTATGGCTGCTGCTTTGATCCCATCCTGCCCGAAGCAAACATGGGCCTTATTCAAACGCAGCTGAATAAGAGTCTCCATTGCTTGTCATTCAGCCTCGGGTACATCACCAGGATGGAGAAAAACTCACCAAGAGGTTATTTTGCATCGCAGTGATCAGGTGTGGGCAAATTGGCTCCCATTGCAGTTAAATAGCAAGTTCTATATGGTCAAGCAAGCCAACTATTTTTGCTTCTAGCTATCAATGCGCTTTCCACTTTGGGGGATTGATATTCTTGCCTAAATTCTCACAATATTTAGTTCTGCCATCTTATCTCCTTCAGCTTTCGTACCTATCTTTGTGCTGCGCTACACAGAAACGTGTGAGCGCTAATATTTGCACGCAATGTTTCCTGATAATAGATTATGTTGCAACTTCTTAAAGGTGAGAGTTATTCTTTCTATACAGGTAGTCCTCGACTTATAACCACAAGTGGGACCAGAATTTCCATCATTAAGCAAGGGGGTTGTTAAGTGAGCAATTTTATGACCGTTTTTGCCAGGGTTGTCAATCAAATCAGGCTTCCCACATTGACTTGACTTGCCAGAAGATGTCTGCGTAAACGAGGATTACATGACCCTGGGACGTTCTAACCATCATTAAGTGCCTGAATTTTGGTCACATAAACTGCAGGGATACTGCGATAGTTTTAATGTGAGAACCAGTTTTAAGTCATTTTTTTTCCAGTGCTGTTTGAAAGGCACCAGACAAATGATGGTTAAGTCAAGGGTCACTTGTATCTCTAATATACTGTTGCTGTTACTAAAAATCCACATTATAGTAGGGTGGAAAGAAGTAATCCATATGGTACCCTTGTAGGGTAAGTCTAAAATGTAGAATTGTGGGATAATGTGCAAATAACACTGGGCGTTCTGCTCGAATTAAAAGACATGGCTGCCTAAAACAAGGCTTTTCAACCAGTGGTATGGGTACCACCTGTGGTACATTGGCACTTGGCAGGTGGTACGTGACCATCCTAGAAAAGTGGTAGTGGGGGAGGTGAATGAACTGAACCGGTGGCAGCACTGCACAAGCCTGAGCGAGAGACGGCTGGAGCTGCAGGGCTGTCAGGGCTCAGCGGAAGCGCCAGGATCAGCGCCAGGCTCCAGGTAGAGGTCAGCGCTGATCCTGGTGCTTCTGCTGAGCCCTGAAGAAGCACCGATCAGCTGAAATGTTGCAGCATCTCCAGGGTCATGTGGTTTACATTCAGATGCCTGGCAACTGATTCATATTTATGACGGTCACAGTGTCCCAGGGTCATGTGAAGTGACCAAAACCTGCTCAACTACCCAGCAGACGGGGGGAATAAAAAACAAACACCCCCCACCCCACCCCCACTGCCAATCCTCAACAGAAATGCTCACAACAGTGAAAACCTCGGACAGGAGGAAGAGTGCGGGCAGGTGGGCAGGCAGGTGTCTTGCTCGGCTGTGTCTTTGGGGGCACTTTTTCAGTGCCATTGTAACTTCGAACAGTCACTAAGCGAACTGTTGTAAGTTGAGGACTACCTGTACTTCATCACTTTTTTCCTTTCCTTTTTTTGTTTTGATCATCAAGTTTTGACACCTTGCTAGGCGACTGGTGGTACTCGGATATTGCCATATTCTAAAAGTGGTACAATGGGTGAAAAGGTTGAAAAGCCCTGGCCTAAGAAGTCAGCACTAACAATAATGTTATCCAAGTTAAGCAAGACATAAAAACTTCTTTTCTATCACCTACCATGAGAGCTTTCGGAATAGTCTTCAGACCAATGGAAGTTGTCTTCCTGAAAACCAAGACAAAATAGGAGAAGTCTGTATTAATTTCTAATGTATGCAGCCACCAAACTCACATATTTATGTGAAGCCGCTGGGGGAGATCATCCG